ATAACTGTGTAATTTCATTCATATCTAAATTTCATTAGGTTTAGCTTTAAGTTCAGTAGAAAAAGTTTCAGGATCATCCAGGGCTTTAGCAATCCTTTGCTAGAATAATATGGTCCTCATTTTTTGTTTCTAGATGCAGTAAATGTCCTTTCCATCGAATTGTGACAATTTGACCTTTGAACCCATCACAGGTTCTATAAAAGGGTGGTTATTACTGTGGACATAAGTGATTTTTTAATCCAAGATCACTTAAGTTGCAAAAAAAGCTTTTGAATTTTTTTACAATTTATAACAAAGTCGACTGATCTCGTAATCTCATAATGTGAAAGCAGTAACAATATAACAAGTACTATTAGAAGCAGTAACAACAAATATCAATTCTAGTGTAACCAACAAAAGATCACACAATTATGCAAAGATTCTAAAATTATAAAGCATGCTTTAGTTTAACTAGTGTTGATTTCTAAGTACGGAGTTTAGAAAAATATGCCAAATATTTACTAACATTATACTTAAAATACAAAAGCAGAAAATGTGCTTTACAGATACCACAAAGAAAGTTAAAGAAAGATATCACCTAGTCTCGTTGTCAAACAATATTATAGAGCCTCAGAAATAATTTCAAAAGCTGATTTCCAACCCTAATTGCCAAGAACATCGGTTTAGGTCCAAAATCGATCCATCATTGTAAAATGCTCTAATATAAGATTTATTGGGTATTTTACCCTTAAATTTGAAAGTTCCAACGAATTATAGATAAATAATTATTTATTTGATTTGAAAACAAAAATGCTTGTTATTTATTATATGACAAAATAAAAAATAAAAAACCATATAGCAGTATAAAACAACACAAAAATATTGTTCACCTAGTTCGTCTAAGTCTAATTTAAAGGGCTCAACTGTAAGAATGTCACTAGTGTTAAAAACATTCAAGAAAGAGTGTACAATTAGAGATTAAATGATAGCAGAACGAACCCACCTTAACAAGAACCTTGTTTAAACGACTCTGTGCAGATTTACAGGTCACTAATTAGGACTAAAACACTATACACGGGTTTTACCACATGCTTATAACACAATAAGATTACAAATCGAGACCCTTTAAACTCTAAATGGTTGAGTGGTTGACTCTCTGTCATCGGATCCAACCAATGGTCTAGATCATTGTTAAAGAATCACAATCTTAGTGAACACAATCCAGCTAGTGAGAGAATGCCAAATGTCCATATCCTAGGCAGCTAAGGAGAAAAATGTTTTAATTTTTGCTTTTTGAGAAACACAATTTTACGAATACACATTCTCCGAATTTGGGGTATAAATCATAGTTATCAAATTCGACTGGCAAATAGATTAGGTCATCATCTCACCGGTGGAACTGGCGAGTCATTTCTTGAAATTATTTAAAAACTTAAATGTACAAATTTTTCTCGAAATAAAATTAAAATTTTAAAATCATTTATCACTAATTATGATATTAAATTTTAATTTTATAATTTTTATAAATATAGAATTCCTAATTTTATTTTATTTTTTAACATACGAAAAACTTATGTGTAGTAAAGTAATTGATTCATCTTTATTAAATTTATTCTATTTACATATTAGATGCATAAAAGAATTATTTGATATAGAAAGCTGATAATGTTGTAAAAAGGAAAGTTCATTAGAGTTTATTGGTGAATGACAATTATACTTCTGCAGCCCTATAAATTATCATCGTTGTATCTCTGATTCTGTCCTATAAATAGAGAGCTTTGATTTTTAATAAAACACACACAAATCTATTAACTTCTCCCTATTTTCTTCTCTTTTCTCTCTTTTCATAACACGTTATCAGCATGATAGCTTAATTTTTCAAAGTTTAGTAAATGCAGTAATTTTTTTATAAGTATAAATATTTATCATATGTGCTAAAATTAATTTGATGTCATGTGAATTCTTCCAATATACATGTACATCATAACAAGGTTGTTCATTCTCCTTCGCTTTTCGTTGGTATACATATTTATTTTAATTCGCGTTTATATGTGTAATATGTACACATATCAGTTCATGTATTTTGATTCATACTCAATCATTTTTACCAGGTATTATTCAGTATTAATACTGTCTTTTGAATCTATCACATATTAGCTCTACATTTAATTTCTATATATGTGAAATTCACATGCATGTTTAGTATCTTTTACATGTTAGTAAACAATTTAGCCAATAAAAGATGTAGCCAGTTTTGTTAACTTCTATGTATAGAGATTCTTTTTCCTAATGCATGTTTGGTAATTAATTTTTCTATATAAATTCATATCATGTCTATATGGTAAGATATAATGTTTGGAATTTATATATATAAAAAGGTTTGATCGATTTTCATGTACTTCATATAAATTAAAAATAATGAAGTTTTACAAATACGGAATAATTGTTAAGAATATTATTTGTAGATCTATCTACTACAAATATTTTATTGTTACTCTTGAAGTAGCACAACATTGACATATTGGTCATAAAGAATATTTTGTTATTCCTGAAGAATCCAAAATTCATGGTTATTAAAATTCATATGATGGTAATATTCTAGTATTACTCTCTCTCAAAGAGCGAATTTTATAAAATTCAGTTTATTTCTTGATTTGAAAAATTTCTTAGATCGATATCACATATGAGTATCTTGTTGTTGCTCCTGAAGTAGCGCAACATTACATGAACAATATTTTTTTAATATCCCAAAAGAATATTAATCATAAATATGTTTATTACAAATATTTTGTTGTTGTTCCTGAAGTAGCATAACATTATTATTAATATTCCAGAAGAATATTATGCTTATTTCTCCTGAAGAGCAAATCTTCATACAGATAAATGTCTTATAATGATAACATGCACTTATAGAGTTAATATTTTTAAACAAGAGTTTGTTGGCGCTCCTGAAGTAGCACGGCATTATTAATACTCTAAAAGAATATTAATTGCTCCAGAAGAGCATGATACTACAATTTCAATATTCTAGAAGAATATTGACTCAATGCTTCTAAGAAGTATAACTTAAATTATATTTATTTTAAATGAATATAGTATTGATATTCTTGAAGAAACACAACCCATGTTATAAAAATATTCCAAAAGAATATTAATTGTTCCAGAAGCGCATGATATTACTAATAAACGTATTAATCTAAATTATGTGTCTGACTATTCCCAAGATATGTGACCACCACGCGTGCAATTCTCATTTGTGGTTAACGATTGATATCCAAGGTTGCAGCCACCCAAATTTATCATCAATTCCTTCTTGTACAATTTTTGGAGGTTCTGAGGCAATGCTGTCTTCGTAAGTTTACAATTCATCTTCATATTCGATAGAAGGTAATACTAATTTTACGCGTATATATATGCATAATTATATCATGGTATCTAGTTAAATTTTGGTGACAAATTTTAAATTTATATTAAACAAAATGGACACTTAATTATTGCGGTTTATGGTTGTACAAGTACTATTTATTAAATTAGGTTCATCGCTAAATGTTTATTATTATTGTTTATCGTTTAATTAATTATCTCGTTCTTACCCTTATAATACACAATTTTAATACTCATATATTTGTCTACTATAAAATATTTTTGCTCTTGAATCAGCACATTACTATTAATGTTCTAGTTATATTTTACTTGCTCCCGAAAAATATAATTAGAAAATTGTATTTTTACTCCTGAAGAGCAAATTCTTGTATAACTTTCAATATTCTAGAAGAATATTGATATATTGTTCTTAAAGAAGTAATAATAAAACATGACGTGCCCTTGAGGTAGCACACATTTTGAAAAATTATATTTCGTTGTGTTCTTGAAGAAACACAAATACTTCAATACTGACTGTAATTTTTAAAAGGAAAACAACTTCCTTATTTTATTAATGTTCGAGAAGAATATTGATTTATCACTCTAGAAGAGCATACTATTTGGTGTTTTAATATTCTCAAAGAATGATATGCTATTGGAGAGCACGTCGTTATAATTTCAATATTTTTGAGAAAAATATTGATATATTGTTCAAAAAGAAGTAAAAAAATAATATATACAAGTATTCTTGAAGAATACAGTATTGTGTTTCTAAAGAAGCACAAATTTATGCATATTAATATTTTAGAAATATGTTATGATTAATTTAAATGTGTAATATTCCTGAAAAATATTATTCTATCACTTGTAAATAATCATAACTAGGTATATATCAATANATGCAATACCCTACTTAACACTACTTTTTCCAAGTATGTTGCACGATTTTGTTGTAGCTTGGGCTTGGGATAAATCTACTAGTAGAAGTAAGAACGTGTCTTTACTCTAGTAATCTCATTTAGGTATTTGATTGTATTATGAGGGTGTTTGATGGGGATTAAATTTAGATTTTTTGTAGATTTTGATAGACGTTTTTGAAATGTGTAGTTGAAAAGTTGTGGGACTCATGAAAGATGTGGTTAATATTGATCGTTTGATTTTGACTCAAATTAAAATTTGATTAAGGGCTTGTTTGTGCTCCCTTTAATTTCAAAAAGTGTATTATGGAATAGTGATTGAAGATGAAATGTGTGGTTAAAAAAGAAGGAATTTTTTTATTTATTTACGTGTAATGTTATTTTAATAAAGAATGTGTGGTTGAAAACGAGTACTGTAGAAAACATAACGTGGTATAATGGTTGACAAACAAAGGCTAAAATTTGAGCCAAACAGGGGCTTATATATCACTCTCGAGTGACAACAAAATTGTTCAACTTCAGTTTGATATTGCTCTTACTTACGCATATCAATCCATCTTATATTTTTGGCTAAACAGTTTTGAAACTTTGCTTCTTTCTATATCCATGTTAGTGTTACTACTGTGCTACAGCATCTGAATTGTTTAGCCTGTCTAACTAATTAACATTTGATGTTATTTTACTTCTCTTTGGGGAGGATTTCCCCTATCTTTGGCATAACCTTCCTGAATGCATCATTTACTGTATGCCAGCTGATTAGCATTAATTACTTCGTAGTTCTATTTAGTTCTGTACTTCAATAACCATAGGCCTCCTGCATTCCAGAACAACTTGGATGAACTTTTCATGCTTATGCATTTCCTTGATGCTGGGAAGGTCAGTGTCGTGCTACTTTTTTGAAGCTACTTTATGGAAAAAAATTCTGAAATATCTGAACCACAATGTTATAATTGCCATTTCCTTTATATGGCAGTTCGGAAGTTTAGAGGAGTTCCAGGAGGAATTCAAGGATATCAATCAAGAGGAGCAGATCTTGAGGCTTCATAAAATGTTGGCACCACATCTCCTTAGAAGTATGTTTCTAAAACTTGTGATTTTGAGTTGGTAGTTTTAATCTGTAACTTCTGTTATTGGTACCCTTTCCCCCATGACATCAACTTTCTTTAGCTTACTTATAAAGCTACTTTCTGTCTTATATAAATCCAAATGAGATGATTATCATTCGTAGTTCTATTCTTAGCTTTGGAAGTATTGTCATTTCTATGTTCTTTGGTAGGCCTTATTTACCCAAGGTTTTTGATAAGTTGACAGATGTACAAGGGTTTGGTAATCTCTAATATTCTTTTGTGTTGCTTTGAATTGTTTTAGCTGTGAATCATTTTCCCTTTCTAATTATAGGAGTGAAGAAAGACGTCATGAAAGAGCTACCACCTAAAAAGGAACTAATTTTGCGTGTAGAATTGAGCAGTAAGCAGAAGGAATATTACAAAGCAATTTTGACTCGTAACTATGAGACACTAACTCGCAAAGGTGGTGCCCAGGTGAGTCTACATGTTCTTGTATGTAATTCTTAGTACGTTATAATGAAACCTGTCATCTTATTATACATAAACTTCTAATCTACTTGAACTTTGTTGATTCTTAGATTTCCCTTATAAATGTGGTCATGGAACTGCGCAAGCTCTGTTGTCACCCCTTTATGCTGGAAGGTGTTGAACCAGAGGACAATAATGAGTTTGACAAGTAATATGTTCATTTGACTTCAAAGTTTTCATATTTATTGTTGATGGATTAGAAAATGGGTTTGCTTATCTAAAAATGAGAATACATATGGGAATTACTGGAATGCTTGTTGAAGTTGTGAGGTGCTGTACCTTGAGCCTTGTCTCGATGGACTTCATCTTAAAAGATGGGAAGATGGACTTGTTGCTTTTAGATTCAATTATTCAAACTTGTTTTTGTCTCACTTTTTTATAGTTACTACTGCTAATTCTGATAAATATATATGTGGCAGGCAACTGCTGGAATCCTCTGGAAAATTACAACTTTTGGACAAGATGATGGTCAAACTTAAAGAGCAGGGCCACAGAGTTCTGATATATACTCAATTTCAGCATATGTTGGATCTATTAGAAGACTATTGTAGTCGTAGGGTATGAATGGTGAATTATTTTTATTTACTTAAATTTACATATGCGAAAAAGGTTTCTGGAAATGTGATCTGATACTCTCTTTTGTTTCTCAGAAATGGCATTATGAAAGAATAGATGGAAAGGTTGGTGGAGCAGAAAGACAAATTCGAATAGATAGGTTTAATGCAAAGAATTCATCCAGATTTTGTTTTCTCCTATCTACTAGAGCTGGTGGTTTAGGCATAAACCTTGCAACTGCGGACACAGTAATCATATATGACAGGTGAAATTTGCAAGTTATGGTTCAATGGCATTATCTCGTCCTGAGTTGTCAGGAATTCTACGCTATATCAATTTCTTTATTCTGTCCGTTTTGACTTGTGTATGGTACATTATTGGTAGATAATATGAATATCTACTGGTGGATGGGCTTTTAACGAGCTTGTTTAGGAAATTTTATTTATTTATTTATTTATTTTTTTCTCTGTATGCTCCTTTAAGTTCCTCGCTTTCGTCAATACAAATTATTCTTTTAAATATACATCAAGTAGCTTTTTCACTGCTGAAAGAATCGATACAATACNAACGTCACAAAGGACAATTAGTTAATATGATACTTGATGGTACACCTAAAGCGTGATGATATTCAATTCTAATACAAAAAAAATCTCCAAATGGAGTAATTAGCAAGGATGGTCTCATTGAGGAGGCATACACTCTTATGAGTATTTAGACATAACATATTATAAAACCTCAGAAGAGGTTTAGGTACTTGATATATTGAAAACTGAGATATCTCAATAAGTTATGTTATCATGGAGAAAGAAATATAATCGAACAAGAGAATAAAAGGTCGTCGACAACAATTTTACACATGATGTACTGCATCATATAGCGAAGAATCGAAATAAATTCGTTGAAATATATCAATCGAGATAATAATTGGGCAAATAAAATGAATGCGATCTTAGTAAAATTGAACTTACTAGAGAAAGAAGTTTCTGGATATACAGTTCAAACACCAAGAGGTGTATACTTGTGCGAAATGAAAATGGAAAAAGCAAAGTCGTAATGTGATATGTACGACTTTTTACATAATGAATTTCGCGAACACTTGTATAAATAGATTAGTTATCATGTGGTGGATGTAATCACGGGTATTTTCCTTGTTAGTGTGATAATACATGAAATTTGATGTGCCTGTAATAAATGTAATTATGGATAATTTATCTTGTATTGTTTTGATACCATTCCGGAATGATTGAATATGTCTGAAACCTAATTCAAGTGATATTATTATGAGGGGAAGTAAATGCGCGTTGTACTCTTTTTCCCTTGACTAAGGTTTTATCCCATTGGGTTTTCCTGATAAGGTTTTTAATGAGGCAACTTTTATAGCGTATTCAAAAGAATAGTGTACTCTTTTTTCCTTCAATAGGATTTTTTCCAACAAGGTTTTTCCTAATGAGGTTTTAATAAGGCATATTCTTCGTGTAATTAATGTCTATAACATGCAAGATATTTACCGTCAAAATAATACATTATATGTATGAGACTCTTGAATAGATCAACAAAAGCTATTTTTCGAATTATCATGTTACTACAGTTATCAAAGAATGATAAAGTATCCCTTACGAAGACAGTGTTATTTGAAGATTGTACAAGACAACATGAGGCATTTCACCAAAGTTGCAATATTGAAGATAGTGACATACTAGGCAATGATGAATTAATACAAGAATTGAAATCAGGGAGAATAACTATACTCTTTTTCTTTCGATCGAGTTTTGTACCATTGGGTTTACTCCAAATTATTTTTACTCCTTTTGTTGGTATTTTTGCCCCATTGGGTTTTTACCAAATAATGTTTCAATAAGATAGATATTTTATAAGGTGTCAATTCAAGGAGGAGTGATGTAAAAAGGAAAGTTCATTAGGGTTTACCCTTGTAGCCCTATAAATTATCACCTTTGTATACCTGATTTTGCCCTATAAATAGAGGATTTTGGTTCTTAATAAAACAAACACAAGTTTATTGACTTCTTCCTATTTTCTTCTGTTTTCTCGCTTTTCATAACAGATAACACAATTTTTTTTTTACCTTTATTATTCAACTTATATGTGGTATGCAACGAACATATTTTAAATTAACTAATTTACAAGAAAATTGTGAACTTATAGCACCTAAAATCGTTCTTTGTTCCACTCGTCTAGCGTTCAGCTTTAAAGTTGGGTCATGAGTTCAATTCACATCTCCCCAGATTTTTTTTTTTAAAAAAAAAAAAGTAGTTTTCGATCGATCTAATTGCCTTATTATTTCAGAAATTCTTTAAAGTTGGGGTCATGAGTTCAATTCACATCTTTCCAAAAAAAAAAAAAAAAAAAAAAAAAAAAAAAAAAAAAAAAAAAAGAAAGAAAGAAAGAAAGAAAAAGTAGTTTTTGGTCGACCTGATTGCCTTATTATTTCAGAAATTGCTGGCTATTTTTTATTGTGGTCAAGTCAAGCTTTACCCCAGCCTTGAGTAAGGGTTAGGTTGGATTTAATAACTATGGTGTAAATAATTGTAATGATAAGTCCTGCTGGATTCAAAATCTTTAAAATTCATTTTTTTTAACAAATCACTTTGTAATCACACATTCTCTTAATAAAATAATTTTGCACATATGCTCATACTTTTTCCTTACTTTTAATTGCATATTTTTTAAAAAGTAATGCCATTTAGTCTCAATAGAGTTACAGTAGTTTAGGTGGTGCTAATATAACATTAAGTAATAAGCAGAATTAAATAAGTGTGCTAATGTGACATTAAATAATAAACAAAATTAAATAAGTGTGCTAATGTGACATTAAATAATAAACAAAATTAAATAAGTGTGCTAATGTGACATTAAATAATAAACAAAATTAAATAAGTGTGCTAATGTGACATTAAATAAAAAGCGAAATTAAATAACTTATTTAATTCCACTTTTTATTTAGTCTATCATCTTGTGCCAACTAGATTAGGGTTGCAATATTTGTGGGGGCCACATATCATTATTCTTTTCTAAAATATCACTTTTTAATAAAATATATTCTAAAAAATTTTACATCAAACATTCCAAATATTTTAATACCCGAAACAATCTTTATACTATAGATATTTTATAAATGGAACTATTTAGGTCCATGTCATTATTGGAACAAAATTCGAACTAGATTCCTCGATTCGAGTTCGAATGCAGCTTTAGTTCTACCCATAATATATTTTAAAGAAAATGGTGAACTGACAATACAAATTATTTCACATAATTCTAGGGTCGAGTATCCATAATTCTAGTTTAAGATTCAATAATCAGCTTGGACCGGATTGGTTTTCAATTTCGGTTCCTAATTTATTTATTTTTAGAATCTAACATAAACATTTCGTTCGGATTTGAGAGATTCGATACTGATTATGATGCACTAAGCTCTTGTTTGATTCAACTAGCAAAAAGAATTAAAATTTAAATCAAAATTAACAATTAATTTTCATAATACATTTATAACATCTACTACTTTTAACCACACATTTTATTAAGCCCTTGTCTGTCACTTATTTTCTCTCATTCTTTCTCATTATTTTTTCAAAAGTACTCATTTTCAACTACACATTCTTTATTAAAATAATATTATACGTAAATCAAAAATATTTTTTTTAATTACACATTTCAACATTAATTCCAAAATAATGAGTGACAAACACAACCTAAATTTATTAAAAATTTAATTTTTATATAAATTATACGTGGCTAAGCCCCTGTTTGGCCCCCATTTTGTGGGAAAATTAATGGGCAGATTAGTTTTTTTAAAAAAATGAGTGGTTGAAAAAGAAGGAATTTTTTTTTCTTTTGCTTTTTCTGGATCAAGAGTGTAGAAAATGGCAAGTTTAGTTGAGAGGCTTCGGGTTCGATCTGATCGAAGGCCCATTTACAATATAGACGAATCGGACGACGAGGCTGACTTTTTTCCGAATAAATCTGATTCCGTCTCTCGTCAGGAGAAAATTGAGAGGCCTGATGCGGTAAATTTCATCTTCTTCTTGTTTAACCTAACTTATATGCTGTTATATTTTTATATAGACACGTGGGGGCTCTAAAAGGGCAAAAATACTCTGGCTCATTTGAAGTTTTTTAATAAGCAGTATTGTTACTTACATATATGTTTGGTGAACTCTACAGTATTTTCATGTTTGAATTTTTTTTGCTTCTAAGAATGGGAAGTACTTATAAGATTTGACAAACATATGTTTCATGAATATGTACTTATAAGCACATTGAAACAACCTTTTATGCTGTTTATTTTGGTTGCTTATTTCGGTGGCCCAAGACCTTTTGCAAATATTGAAAAGGAGGATTTTGCAATTTTTTTGGGTTTGAATGACTTAGCGTGACTTATTTGCAGTTGTATTTATGTATAGATTTGTGAGAGCACTTTTTTATGTCAGAAATGCCATTGCCTATTTGAAGCTTAAAAATTTCCATAAGCAATATTGTTCTAAATATATATTTAGATATTTTTTTTACTTGTAAGAATGGAAAGTACTTATAAGGTTGGATGAATATATTATTCACAAAAATGTGGTTATAAACACAATCAAGAATCTATGCTATTTCTTCTGGGTGCTTATTGCTGTTGGCCTCTTTTATTAATATTGTAAAAGGAAGATTTTTCAGTTTTGCAGCTCTTGACTGACTTTTCAAAGGAAGTTCTTTTACTAGGGATTATTAGTTTATGCTATCTGATGAAAGTGAATATCATTCATTAATGTAAAGATGCCACTGCTAGTTACAGCTGTTTCTGCCTTGCTGCTTCCAGCGCTATGTTAGAAGTGTTGATGGTGGTGCATATAACATTATACTAGTTCTTTTACTGATTTGAGAATGTTTTATAGAGCTGGTGAAAATTGAGTGGACAAAATATTTAATTTTTAAATGTAAAAATATTTTCAGGTAAATATGTTCTGTTTATATTTTTTTCATAGTCAAAATGAAGGTAAACTCATAGCCATACTTAGCAGAGATTATTTTAGTTCGTAGGATGACAATGGATTGTGTACCTCATCGTCCTGAAATCATATCTTTGTTTGATTTTGAATTCTTTGATTCGTTTCGAACGTGTGAATACGCATCCTTGAGGTACAACCTTTTTGATAATTGGTCTCTATAGTTTCTATATCCATTATTGAAAAGATTTTCATATCATTAAATTGTCAATGCACAAATCTTGGAGTTTACACCTTGTGCATTGGGGCTTGCCTAGTGTAACATTGCAATTCTGGTGGGGGAGCTAAATGGCCTGGCAAAGCCTTTACCATTTAGATCATTCTTGAGACAGATACCAGAAGTTAAAGATCCAATAACTGATAACAAGAGCAAAACTAGAATTAAATTTCCGCGCCCGGGGGGGGGGGGGCTGAAGTGTAAAATAATAGTGTTATTAAACTGTAAACTCAAAAGAAAACTATGAATAAGTCCTGAAACTTGATGAATATTTGATCAGGAATGTTTTCTCAACAATTTATAAACCCTTTTGGGCTGCATTTTTACGAATGCTTATTTTTTTAAGACCAATTTTCAATCACATGTCCTCCCATAAAATAATTTTACACGTAAACCTAGAAAATTTTCTTCTTTTTTAACTATATGTTCTTCAAAAAAATCACTATTTCAAAATACATTTTAACTCAAAAATGGATCTCAAACAAGCTAAAAGTCATAAAGTAAAAAATTGGAGGTTAGGAATGCTTAGAAATACACACAAGAGTGTAGAGAACATGAGAAGAATGTGAGAAGCCTAGAAGGGGAGGGAATTGAGAAGGGGCGAGGAGGAGACACTAGGAAAGGAAAAAATAAATTGTGAATGCTAATTAGGCCAAATGGACTAAGAGCCTATTTGGTGCTGATTATGGGAATAATTTTTTAATCGTTACCTTAAAAGGTGAGTCTCACCTGTGAGTGAAGTTGTTAAAAATGACGGCTGACTATGTTAAGTAACGGTCAAAAAATTAATTTTTGGCTTGAAAAATTAGAACCAAATGGGGGCTAAATTTAAGATGCAAACAACACTAAATTCCAGCCACTTCTTTTATCTTGGGCTATAGCTCAATAGTAGGGTCTTGCCCATGACTGATAATCTATGTTGTATGGACATTGAGGTAGTGTATTCGTGCTTGACACGTGTTAGATACCGACATTTTTCAAATGCTCAACCATGGCAAATTTTTTCTTTATAGAAAAATTAAATATTTTTTAGTTCAAAGCAATTATTAAATAATAAATAGGTACTCACATTTAAAAAATTTTAACAAGAAAAGTTAATAACAAGTACAAAATTAAATTTATACTATATAAATTAAGAATTTTAAAAAATTTAATCGACGTGTCATGTACTTTTTTGAGCATATTGGTGTGCGGATGCACTTGTCTATTTAGATGCATTATAGCAGATAATGTATAGCCATTTCAAATTTCGTTTTTTCTTGTTTTCTGAAATAAGCATTTTCTTCTGTGAATTTTTATCTATACACACGCACACCAAAATATTTTTTAATGCCTTTCAGGACTAGGAAATTTGTGTTATGATTTGTTCGGTATGTCTATTAATTTTTATATATTAACTCATTCTGTCAATAGAGGGATGGTTCATGTCAAGCTTGTGGGAGGGATGGCAATATATTGAGCTGTGAAACATGTACTTATGCCTACCATCCCAAGTGTTTACAACCACCAGTGAAAGCTCCTCTTTCTGGCAGCTGGAAGTGTCCTGAATGTGTATGTTTGTACTAACTTCTCATATACATCTAGAATTGGGAACTGAGATTATGTGTCATTTTATTATAATTCACAACTAATTTTCACAGGTTAGCCCTCTGAATGATATGGACAAAATACTTGACTGCGAGACACGTTCCTGTGCTGCAGATGAGAGTGATGTATCCAAGCCGGGCTCTGAGCAATCCTTCATGAAACAATATTTAGTGAAGTGGAAGGGACTGTCCTACCTCCACTGCACATGGTAGATTTTCCATTATGAATTATCTGAACTGAATTATTTGGAACAATTACCTTTTTTTCCACCTTTTCTATTGGATGGAAATTCTAACTGAAATTGCTAGTTTGATAGTACTTCCTCCGTCTATGGTTATTGCTCCACTGTTAACAGTTTGGTATACATATATATACATATATCTATATATACACATACCACTGCACATGGTAGATTTTCCATTATGAATTATCTGAACTGAATTATTTGGAACAATTACCTTTTTTTCCACCTTTTCTATTGGATGGAAATTCTAACTGAAATTGCTAGTTTGATAGTACTTCCTCCGTCTATGGTTATTGCTCCACTGTTAACAGTTTGGTATACATATATATACATATATCTATATATACACATACGTGTGTGTGTGTATATACACACATATATGTATATATATAGATATATGTATATATATATTTGCGTATATATATGTGTGTGTGTATATATTTTACTTTGTGAATTAATTACCGGTAATGTAATTAGTTTAAGTCAATTTTTTTTGCTGAAATTGTTGAACTTTGAAATATAGCCCTTTTCATTTAGATTAATATAACCACTGTATATTATAATCCTGTAATTGCTTGTGATGTCATTCCTGAAAATGTCATTTTCACTAAGAAATGTAGAAATGTCACTGCATTACTGCGACAGAGTAATTTTTTATTTTTTCTCATTTTGTTTTATATAGTTTAGTGCTCTTGTTCTTAATTTTATGTTGCTGTACTTCTTGTTGCAGGGTGTCAGAAAAAGATTTTGTTAAGGCATACAAGGACAATCCTCGTTTAAGAATGAAAGTAAACAATTTCAACCGTCAAATGGATGTGGCGAACAACTCTGAGGATGAATATGTTGGTCTGCGACCTGAATGGACTACTGTTGATCGGATTCTTGCATGCAGGTTCATCCACCAATCTTTGATTTGTTGGACATATTTCGTGTTTGAGTTTTATGAAAATTTTATTATTTGAAATTAAAACTACATAATAATTTTGCTATTACCTTTTTCATTGCATTGTTTTGGGTTGTGCATTTTCAGTCACTGACCGAACTTGGATTATTTTAAAACATGTATTAAAACATGTACTTGTTTATCTATGCTACTATAACTTTTGTTCAGGCTTGACTTCATATTTGGAAGTTGAGTCGTTTCAAACTGGGGGTATGTTTGCTCAAACATGCTAAATTGTCACACCTGGTGTTATAGATATGCAGCATGTTGTATGCTTCAACTTGAATTTCCGAAGACCGAGGCACCAACTTGACCTCCATTTACTAAGTTAACATGGGCCCACTATCAAATTGAGGTACAATGAGGTTGTCAACGATAGGCTTGCTGATGAGTTGGGAGTGGTTAAATGCTGAATTCAGGCATAGAATACCAATGATGCACTTGATGTATGTTGTAAAATAGAATAGTGGAGCTTGGATCGGCCAATTTAAGAAGTTGCAGATAATGGATGGCAGATTGTTCCTGGCTAGAACTTGATTTCACCAGCTTGTTTCTTTCTTGTTTAACATTCTATTCCTTGTTTCTCCCCCACTCATTTTATGGGTTTGATCATTCATTGGATAATATTCTCATTTTAGATGCTACTGCTATGGCATGAAGTTGTTGGGGTAGGTGAACGAGACTACACTTTTGATAGAAACATTGCTCCCTTTCCTTTATAGTTAGTAAGTCAGCTACCTACTTTCCCTTACGATAGATATAGGAGCAGTGTCACGATCGAAGGAGATTAGGTGTCTGATCTATTTGAGGATAGCTTGGATAGACCACGAACCTCCGCTAAATGTGATGCAATGAATGTGATAAGCCTCCCATTAGATTAACTTATTCTAGAAGGATCAGGAAGAAGGGGGAACCAGCTGGAAGGAGGCATAACCGATTCTGTTACAAGCAAGTGGCTCCACAAGAGACTATATATAGCAGTAGGAAGAGAAGCAATAGGCAGGCAATAGTGAGAGTTGAAAGGGAAAGTTGTATCTCGTTCTTTATCTTCATTTCAGTTTACTTTCCATTCACAGATTCAATAAAATTCTTCAATTGTTAAGTTCCTTTAATTGGAGTCCTAACAAATTGATATGAGAGCGGTTGATTTTGATGATACAAAAGAAGGTAGACAATAGGATGGAACTGATCGAAAGGAAAATGGAGGAGTGGGAAGGGGAGATGCAACGCCTTCTAGGATTGGAAAAATCAATAGAACAATTGACCCAGAGCATGGCCAAAATGTTGCAATCGATGGAAGAAACCAGAAGAGCAATGACGGTACTCTCCAACCCAAAAAATTATCTGAACAGAAGGAAGGAGACGGGACCAGCAGTAGTTGTGAAAAGGCTATGCAACATAACAAACTAGAGAAGTCCATGGAGAATCATTGTATTGTGGAAAAAGGGAAGTGGCCAGGAAGAGTAGGGGAGGAGAGTTATGGGAAATCCACTGTTACCATGCCCCAAAATAGAGAAGAGGACGCTGGCGGCGGGTGTGAAAACTGGAAATGCTCATTTTCTGCGGGGAAAATCTGGATGGATGGTTGTTCCGAATAGAGTGATACTTCGAGGTGAATGGGTTAATTGAACGAGAGAAACTGGGGGCAGTGGCAGTGAGCTTGGACGGTGATGCAGTATCATGGTTTCAGTGGACGGAGCCGTGATCACCTATCCTTTCCTGGCAGCAATTACTGTTGCGCTGTAGGTCCACCTAGGAAGGAAATCTATGCGAGAGTTTTTTGGCCATCAGACAAAGCGGCATCGTAGCAGAATTCTGTCGCGAGTTCGAACAGTTAGCCGCACCGTTAAGGGAGTATTGGATGAAGTCCTTGAGAGCACGTTCATAAATGGATTGAGGCCAAATATAAGGGTTGAGATAAGATTATTAGGCCCAAATGGTTCGGGCCCAATTATGGAAATAGCCCAGAGGATTGAAGATAAGAACCTAGTTGTTAGAAGTATTCAAGAGCCTACTGCCAAAATCGTAAAACATAATCTACTCCCAGTCCGATCAGAACTAAGGAGGTTCGAGAATTTTCCCCACTAAAACAATTACTGTTGGAGAACGACCGGCTGCTGCCCAGCGAGAAATTCTGGTAAGACGCCTAATTGATGCAGAGTGGCAATCAAAATGGGAGAAAGGGTTGTGTTTCTGGCGTGATGATAGATATACTACGAGACATGTCTACAAGAATCATGAATTGCGGGTCGTCTGGTGCATGAAGATTATAGTGAAGAGTGGGAGGGAGCTGGCCTCTTTGTAGAAGAGCAGCTGCTGGAGGTAGGGGATAAGGTAGAACTATCCCTGAATTCGATGGTTGGACTAACTACACCGGGGACCATGAAGTTGCGAGGGACAATAGGTCGCGAGTAGTAGTGCTGATTGACTGTAGGGTAACCCACAACTTCTTGTTCCTAGAATTGGTTCAGCAACTAGGCATTCCGGTCACAACTACAACCAGCTATGGAGTAGTAATGGGTACATGAGAATTGGTGAAGGGAAAAGGGATATGTAAAGGGGTGACTCCGGAAGTGTAAGGGACAACCGTAGTTGAAGATTTTTGCTGTTAGAACTGGGTGGTACAAATGTAATATTGGGAATGCAGTGGGTGGGTACTTTGGGGAATATGGAGGTCAACTGGAAACTCCTGACCATGTGCTTCCATATGGGGAACGCACCAACAACACTAAAAGGAGACCCCCTCCTTCACGAGGCCGATGTGTCCCTCAAGGCATTGGTAAGAGCCCTATAGCATGAAGGCTAAGAGGTTTGGGTAGAACTCGGAACTCTCACGGCAAAGGAAGATGAGAAACAAATAGTCAGCTGCTCGCTGGGATTATGCAGGTCTTGCAGCGTCATTGGCAAATCTTCGAGGAACCAAAAACCTTGCCCCCAGTGCGAGACACTGATCATTCGATCACATTACAGGAAGGAGTAGAATCGATCAACGTGAGACCCTACAGGTATCCTCATGTGCAGAAGAATGAAATTGAGAGGTTGGTGGGGGAAATGCTAGCCGCTGGAATAATTCAACCCAGTACTTAGCCCGTTTTCCAGCCCGGTGTTACTGGTAAAGAAGAAAGACGGCAGTTGGAGGTTTGCGTAGATTACAAAGCTTTGAACAAGGTGATTGTCCCTTATAAATTCTCGATTCCTGTCATAGACGAGTTACTGAATGAACTTCATGGGGTAAAGATCTTTTCGAAGCTGGACCTGAAGGCGGGGTACCATCAAATTCGAGTTTGGAAGGATGATATAAGTAAAACAACATTTAGGACTCATGAGGGGCATTATGATTTATGAATTTCTGGTGATGCCGACGCGCCAGCAACTTTTCAATCGTTGATGAACCAGGTGCTAAAAAAAAAATCTGAGGAAATTAGTGTTGGTATTTTTTGATGATATTCTCATATATAGCAAGGACTTAGCAGCCCATGAACAACATTTGGAATTGGTTTTCACGTCCTTAACAACTCACCAATTAAGTGCAAACGCAAAGAAGTGCTTGTTCGCTCAACAACAGCTTGAGTACCTGGGACATTTGGTGTCATCAAAAGGGGTGGCGGCTGACCCAAGTAAGATTGAAGCTATGGTACAATGGCCGACCCCTAGAAACCTGAGGGAGCTCCAAGGATTTTTGGGGTTGATTGGGTATTAACGAAGGTTCGTGGCAGGTTATGGTACTATTTCATGGCCGCTTACACAACAGTTGAAGAAAGATGCTTTTGGATGGACACCCGAAGCGGAGGCTGCTTTTCAAAAACTGAAGCAAGCTATGGTTACCGTTCCAGTGTTAGCACTTCTAGATTTTTCTCAGCCATTCATCATCGAAACTAATGCATCGGGATATGGGTTGGGTATTGTACTCATGCAAAAGGGGCAGCCCATTGCCTATTTTAGCCTAGTTTTGTTGGCCAAATCTCAACTAAAGTCATTCTACGAAAGGGAGTTAATGGCCATTATGCTAGCTGTCCAGAAATGAAGGCATTATGTTTTGGGTCAGAAATTCATTGTATGCTCTGATTAACGAAGTCTGAAATATCTCTCCTAGAGCAACGAGTAATACTGGCCGACATCCAACGTTGGGTAACTAAGTTGGGGTATGAGTTCGAGATTCATTATCGCCCCGGACTAGAAAATAAAGCTGCAGACGCCTTGTCGAGGGTCTCGCCACAGGTTAAACTCTCTGCTCTTGCCTTTCCACTAATTGTGGATGTACAGTTGGTGACGAGTCAAGTCGATGCCGATCCCCGGTTGTGAAAAATTAAATAGGAGCTGCAAGAGGACTAGACTCTCATCCTTGTTATTCGTTAGAGCAGGGCTAGTTGTTGTACAAGGGCCGTCCGGTGCTTCCTTGTTCATCATCCTTGATTTCCCCACTCTTAAAAGAGTTCCATTGCAGCGCAATAGGGGGCCATTCTGGTTTTCTTCGCACTTATAAGCGGCTAACAAGTGATTTGTTTTGGAAAGAAATGAAGGACATTAAGCGATTTGCGGATGAGTGTCCAGTTTGTCAATAGAACAAAAGCCTGGCATTATCTCCAGCAGGTCTCCTTCAGCCGCTGCCTATTCCTCAACAATTTGGGAAGATGTTTGCATGGATTTTATTGAAGGGTTACCGAAATCAGGGGGATTTGCTCAATACTGGTTGTCGTCGACCGATTAAGCAAGTACGGTCATTTTATACCACTCAAACATCCTTTCACTGCGCCAGTGGTTGCACGTGTTTGTGAAAGAAGTCATTAAGCTCCATGGTGACCCACGCTCAATTGTGTTAGACCGAGACAAGACTTTTGGACAGAAATTTTTGGATTGCAGGGGACTTTTCTTCGTTGAAGCACAGCCTACCACTCTCATACTGATGGGCAAACAGAGGTAGTGAACCACTGTATTGAGGCGTATTTGAGGTGTTTTACTTATGACAAGCCACGCAGCTAGAGTAATTAGTTACCCTGGGCTGAATATTGATACAATACTACGTTTCATGCTTCGACGAACACCACACCATTCCATGCTGTATATGGACATGATCCTCCTACTCTTGTCTGCTTTGGATCTCAGTCTGCAAAAGTCTCTGCCATGGAACAACAGTTAAGTGTCCGAGATGCCCTGTTAGAAGAACTTAAAACTCACCTCATGTGTGCTCAGATAAGAATGAAACTTGTTGCTCGTCGTGAGGTCCAATTTAATGTAGGTGACTTGGTGTATGTTAAACTTCGCCCATATCACCTCCGTTCCTTGGCCAAAAAGTCTAATGAGAAGTTAGGGCCTCGATACTTTGGCCCATTCAAGGTTTTGAAACGTATCGGGATGGTAGCATATCTATTAGAGCTGTCCCCCACAGTAGCTAGTCACCTCGTCTTTCACATAGCTCAGTTGAAGGTGCTGGGGTCAAATGAAACTTGCCAACAGATACCACCCCACCTGCAAGATACCTTGGAGTGGCTAGTTGAATTGGAGCAGGTCCTGGGAGTTCGACCTTATGTAGCAGGGCACCCTACTAAGAATGAAGTTCTGATCCAATGGAAAGGTCTCCCTGATTCTGAGGCTTCTTGGGAAACTGCGACATCCATCGTCCATCATTTTCCCGATTTCCACCTTGAGGACACGGTGTCTTTGGAATCCGAGGGTGATGATAAGCCTCCCATTTGATTCACTTATTCTAGAAGGATCAGGAAGAAGAAGAACCAGCTGGAAGGAGGGCATTACCGATTCTGTTACAAGCAAGTGGCTCCATAAGAGACTATATATAGCAGTAGGAAGAGAAGCAATAGACAGGCAATAGTGAGAGTTGAAAGGGGCAGTTGTATCTCGTTCTTTATCTTCATTTCAGTGTACTTCCCATCCACAAATTCAATAAAATTCTTCAATTGTTAAGTTCCTTTAAGTGGAGTCCTAACAGAATGACACCAGAAGAATACGCCTTTGTCCATAAGCTGAGGGACCAAGTCAATGTTCAATAAGGATCCCATCAAGAATGGCCCATAGCTTCTCCTTGAGTATAGGACAAACACCATAGGAAGAGAAAAGTGTACAAATACATCGTCTAGAGTGATCCAAATGAAACCACCACTAGCAAAATTATCCGACGCATTCATCAATGTTGATTTTGTAGGATCCCACCATTAGAGCGTGCCATGAAACGAGGAGAAGGTAGGTGTGGGTGAGAGCAATACCAATAAAATGATGATATCCAAGTTCCCTCGCCAATGCACGAACTGAAATAAACGGCTCATGTAAAGAAAGGAAATAGCCTGAAATACTTGCCATATGAACCTGTGATGCTCCATAGCTGTACCCTGGTATTTCGCTTCATTCCTCGCAATTGATAAGAACCAAAGAATGAAAAAACGAATGATAATGCAAATGTCGCCACTCTGAACAAACTTACTTGAGAAATGCCTGCCCTGAAAGCAGTACTAAGTCCTTACATTTTCATTCCATCATAGGATTTACATTAGTATTACAAATTCATCCAATTTACAACTGGTTTACATTCAGTAGCGGCTCATAATAAAAAAATTGTACATTTTCATTACATCATAAAATGCTCAATCCCATTTAATTCTTGTTCCAAAAGCAACATAATTAGGTACCTATCAAATTGGTATTAGAGCCACCATTCTTAAAATTTATGGCTAGTGACGAAAATAAATTGTGAGATCGATTGGGAAGGATTGAAGAAAGGATGGAGGAGATCCACATTGAATTGCAGTTGGGGTTCGATGATTAACTTTCGAGAAGCTGTCTCACTCCAGTTTTACACGTAATTTTTAGATGCATTGATTGAATTTTCCTTCCTTTATCTATATATGCTGGTGTCTTTATTCAATTTTGAGTCTTCCTTTCACTTTTTCTGCACTGTTGCTTGCCAAATGTAACCATTTATGCCACCTAGATGTCCTTCCAATGTGAAAGCCTATGGAGGCTTATCAATCAGCCTCCCCTCAAAATTCACCATTTCCTTGAGCTGAAAGTTTAGTTTATCAACTTCAAGACCTAGTTTGGTTTGAATTGGATCAACCTATTGCACCAACAATGCCGATCTGTTTTTCATTACGCATGAAATAATTGAAATAATTGGTATCTCTTATGAAGCGTCTGGGATGAATATCTAGGGTTATTTGTTTTCTAGTCATTAGAAGTTTCTAGCAACTGAGACACGGGTAAATGTATATTTATAAAGAAACTTATCTACAAGGATTCTGAAACCTGACGGAGTGGGGGTAAATAGATTATGAATAGCACTGTGTTGAAATAATCAATAAAGCTGTGAAATAACATTGTGGGTGTTTTGATATGAAAGATGAAATTTATAATGAGAAGAGGAGGTTGAGTTACAGCAACAATTGTCATTGTGATTCAAGAACATTCCTTGTGGAGACCTGACTCTGAAGAACTTGAGTATGGAGAATATATCTCATCAAGGTGTAATTACAGTTATGAATATTTGAACAAAGGAAATTTATTTGTCATACAAGTACTATTTTTTTTGTACGTTTAAGGTAGACGAGCATGATTATTGAATTAAATGGAAATTTAGACCAAATAAAAATAGGTGACATCCTGAAAAGAGAGCATATTCAGGGAAACTTGGCTTCTTTCTGAGACTTATGCTGTTAATCCTGATTTGTACAACAACTATTGAGCTGTCACTGATGAATTTAGGCCTCTGGAAGGGAGAGGCTGCATGATGATAATTTTGGGAAGAACCAATATTTATCACACAGCCTTGCTTCTCAATATACCTGATATCATGAGTTCAATCTCCAAGTCTTTTCAGAAAGTTTACGAATATGAATTTGGAAAAATTGTGTAATCCTTGTGTAATAAACAGAAAGGATTATTGTTTTTGCACTCAGATATGCAATGCTTGAAATGGTAAAATAAAGTTAAATATAAGAAATATATAAATTGAAACAAATCTTGAAAAGGTAAAGAGAACAAGAATTAGACTGAGATGAGATTTTGACCTCATAAATAGTTCTTCAAGACAAGCAAGAAGTATTTTTGGCGATTACCCATTGTGCATGTGATAAAGCGAAATTGAACTTGGGAGTTGTTCTGGTGTATATGTACTTCTACTGTTGTACATATATTGATTTGAAAGTTTGGGTTATGGGGATATGTATCTTTTTATTAGACACGCACGCTTTAAAGATTTTTTTGTGTCACTTAAATGTAAGCTGTACTCACTTTACAGCCAACTTAGTAAGAGCAAATGAGTTGATCTTTTGTCACGGGAATTTCAAAAACTTTATATCAGAAATTAATAAGGGGTTAGAGATGTCGGAGGTTGATGGATAAACTCCCAATTAATGTGTACTCACTGAAGTAGAAAATTTGGCTCCTTCCAAGTTAGCAAGCTCAAAGACAAATCTCTTCATCGACGATCTATTGAAAATGCCTTTCTGCATAATGCCTCCCCATCTTTCTACTCCTCCCTGCGCTTGTACTGTATCTGCCCTCCCCTTTTTGGTCACTCAGAACTACACTGTAGCATCAAGGAAATGATCCTTGTGGTTATTTTTTGGACAATGTGAGATTGATATTTCTGTTCTTTTGTTCAACTTTGCCTCATCATTGGTATTACGTTTCGTTCAGTGCCTCGAGCTTCATTGCGTTTCTTTCCACCCATATTGTAAATGATATCTCATAAAGAGCTTCCAATTTTAACTTTGACGGATGTCGTATCTCAACTCGTTTCATTTTATTTGCCCTTCATGAAGTTTCTTTCCACCCATGTTATAAATGATACCTAATAAAGAGCTTCGAATTTTCACTTTGACAGATCTTGTTTCTCAAAATTTTTTAGTTTTATTCTCCCTTAAAAGGCATAAAATTCGTTACAAAGGGTAACTTTCACTTCCTTGAGCTCTCTTAAAATTCTCAATTGAGATACTACAAGCAGTGATATCACCCTATCCAGCATTATCTTCGATCCTGAAATCATGGAAATAGTGTAAATAGCAAATTGAGAGGAAGTGGTTCAGCTAAATTCAAAGAGTGGGTTAATTATAAAGGATTAAGAACCTGTGTTGTCTGAGTGCGGAGACAACTCTTAATAGAGCTGAGTAGGAAAGTAGGATAATTATGGGATAAAGCTTTTTTTGGTTGGGTTGAACCTCGACCACATGTTCAATGCTGCTAAGCAACCAAGAGAATCCACAGCTGTTTATTCACATCACAATGCATACTGGTATGTATGCCCTTCTTACAAGTGCACATTTGGCACTTTGAAGTGCATTACACGTGGCCACTTCTGGTCTAGATCTTTGAAGGATATCTCCAGTTTACAAGTGTCCATGATGAACGTCCTTGCCCAGGCTATTGCTATGTGGTGATTTAGCTAGTTTTCTTGTATTTCCTCGATTCATAAAAATAAATTAGCAGCCTTTTCAAATTGGGAATAAAGAAATCATTTTTTACCCGATTGATAGTAGATTGTTTTTCTTGCTGAGCTGTTTTGGTTCTGATGTAGGAAGAACTGGATGATATCATAAGATATGGCGCAAAAGAGTTATTTGCTGATGACATTGATGAATCGGGAAAATCACGACAGATTCATTATGACGATGCTGCAATTGATAGGTAATTTTTTTCCTCTATTATGTTTTTTGATAGTAACCAATTTATTTAGTTTCACAATTGAAGTTATTTTAATGTTAGATTACTTAACCGAGAACATGTTGGAGACGAAGAGGCTACGCTGGAAGATGAAGAAGAAGATGGATTTTTGAAGGCTTTTAAGGTTCATGATTTTCTCTGACGTCATTTCTTTTGTTGTTTGTCTTGCCAATAATTATTAAGTTGTAGAATCACATGACCAATTATGTGTTTTTCCTATCCTTACATGCCATTTTTCATTAACAGGTGAAATTTTCACCTTAAAATATCCCAAAATACCATTCTTCATCTTTCTCGCCCTTGTCCATGGGCTTTTCTCTCGGATTTCTATAGTTACCATAATATCCGTGCTAAACCCATTCAAGTTCATTTGTAGATCTACATCTTCTAAGGAAGGTGTGTGATTTTACCCTCTAAATTGTACCATCTAATATGTATGCATCTTCCATGGATATGGATCTACAAATTCATGCAAGTCCATTTGTTGATCTACATATTGGATCTTGTGTCCTACATCAGTCTCCTTAGTAGGATTCACATCTTCCTTGGAATTTGTACATCTACAAATCAACCCAATTCCATCAATTGAAACTAGAAGAGTGCAAAAAATTATGTTGATGGGCCGTCGAACATGTCTAGTAGTGTCGAGCAAATTTTTTACCATTGAGTCGGCAGACAATGTTTGGCGACATGGGCACTGGCATGATAAGTGGAGAAGATGGAGATATAAATGCTGAGAAGTTGTAAATACATTGATGAAGATGTCCATTTAAAAAAAAAAAAAATTAAAATGGACATTACAGTTAAAATTGCTATTTTAACAAAAGTTTTCATAAGTTGATATATCAATTTGTCTTCGAAATTTTTTTTGAGAGGTGGCCTCTTGAAAGCTGACCATATATATATATATATATATATTTTAATAAATATTGAAGTACTATCACAGTCTCGGGGTGTTTTTAGGATTTACCAAATAAGGATAGAGGGGGGGTTATGATTACCTTATCATGATTTCAATGAAAATAAATAAATACAACGAAGGGGACATATACCTATCCACTGCTATGGCATGAAGTTGTTGGGGTAGGTGAACGAGACTACACTTTTGATAGAAACATTGCTCCCTTTCCTTTATAGTTAGTAAGTCAGCTACCTACTTTCCCTTACGATAGATATAGGAGCAGTGTCACGATCGAAGGAGATTAGGTGTCTGATCTATTTGAGGATAGCTTGGATAGACCACGAACCTCCGCTAAATGTGATGCAATGAATGTGATAAGCCTCCCATTAGATTAACTTATTCTAGAAGGATCAGGAAGAAGGGGGAACCAGCTGGAAGGAGGCATAACCGATTCTGTTACAAGCAAGTGGCTCCACAAGAGACTATATATAGCAGTAGGAAGAGAAGCAATAGGCAGGCAATAGTGAGAGTTGAAAGGGAAAGTTGTATCTCGTTCTTTATCTTCATTTCAGTTTACTTTCCATTCACAGATTCAATAAAATTCTTCAATTGTTAAGTTCCTTTAATTGGAGTCCTAACAAATTGATATGAGAGCGGTTGATTTTGATGATACAAAAGAAGGTAGACAATAGGATGGAACTGATCGAAAGGAAAATGGAGGAGTGGGAAGGGGAGATGCAACGCCTTCTAGGATTGGAAAAATCAATAGAACAATTGACCCAGAGCATGGCCAAAATGTTGCAATCGATGGAAGAAACCAGAAGAGCAATGACGGTACTCTCCAACCCAAAAAATTATCTGAACAGAAGTAAGGAAGGAGACGGGACCAGCAGTAGTTGTGAAAAGGCTATGCAACATAACAAACTAGAGAAGTCCATCGAGAATCATTGTATTGTGGAAAAAGGGAAGTGGCCAGGAAGAGTAGGGGAGGAGAGTTATGGGAAATCCACTGTTACCATGCCCCAAAATAGAGAAGAGGACGCTGGCGGCGGGTGTGAAAACTGGAAATGCTCGTTTTCTGCGGGGAAAATCTGGATGGATGGTTGTTCCGAATAGAGTGATACTTCGAGGTGAATGGGTTAATTGAACGAGAGAAACTGGGGGCAATGGCAGTGAGCTTGGACGGTGATGCAGTATCATGGTTTCAGTGGACGGAGCCGTGATCACCTATCCTTTCCTGGTAGCAATTACTGTTGCGCTGTAGGTCCACCTAGGAAGGAAATCTATGCGAGAGTTTTTTGGCCATCAGACAAAGCGGCATCGTAGCAGAATTCTGTCGCGAGTTCGAACAGTTAGCCGCACCGTTAAGGGAGTATCGGATGAAGTCCTTGAGAGCACGTTCATAAATGGATTGAGGCCAAATATAAGGGTTGAGATAAGATTATTAGGCCCAAATGGTTCGGGCCCAATTATGGAAATAGCCCAGAGGATTGAAGATAAGAACCTAGTTGTTAGAAGTATTCAAGAGCCTACTGCCAAAATCGTAAAACATAATCTACTCCCAGTCCGATTAGAACTAAGGAGGTTCGAGAATTTTCCCCACTAAAACAATTACTGTTGGAGAACGACCGGCTGCTGCCCAGCGAGAAATTCTGGTAAGACGCCTAATTGATGCAGAGTGGCAATCAAAATGGGAGAAAGGGTTGTGTTTCTGGCGTGATGATAGATATACTACGAGACATGTCTACAAGAATCATGAATTGCGGGTCGTCTGGTGCATGAAGATTATAGTGAAGAGTGGGAGGGAGCTGGCCTCTTTGTAGAAGAGCAGCTGCTGGAGGTAGGGGATAAGGTAGAACTATCCCTGAATTCGATGGTTGGACTAACTACACCGGGGACCATGAAGTTGCGAGGGACAATAGGTCGCGAGTAGTAGTGCTGATTGACTGTAGGGTAACCCACAACTTCTTGTTCCTAGAATTGGTTTAGCAACTAGGCATTCCGATCACAACTACAACCAGCTATGGAGTGGTAATGGGTACATGAGAATTGGTGAAGGGAAAAGGGATATGTAAAGGGGTGATTCCGGAAGTGTAAGGGACAACCGTAGTTGAAGATTTTTGCTGTTAGAACTGGGTGGTACAAATGTAATATTGGGAATGCAGTGGGTGGGTACTTTGGGGAATATGGAGGTCAACTGGAAACTCCTGACCATGTGCTTCCATATGGGGAACGCACCAACAACACTAAAAGGAGACCCCCTCCTTCACGAGGCCGATGTGTCCCTCAAGGCATTGGTAAGAGCCCTATAGCATGAAGGCTAAGAGGTTTGGGTAGAACTCGGAACTCTCACGGGGGGAGGGAGCTGGCCTCTTTGTAGAAGAGCAGCTGCTGGAGGTAGGGGATAAGGTAGAACTATCCCTGAATTCGGTGGTTGGACTAACTACACCGGGGACCATGAAGTTGCGAGGGACAATAGGTCGCGAGTAGTAGTGCTGATTGACTGTAGGGTAACCCACAACTTCTTGTTCCTAGAATTGGTTCAGCAACTAGGCATTCCGGTCACAACTACAACCAGCTATGGAGTAGTAATGGGTACATGAGAATTGGTGAAGGGAAAAGGGATATGTAAAGGGGTGACTCCGGAAGTGTAAGGGACAACCGTAGTTGAAGATTTTTGCTGTTAGAACTGGGTGGTACAAATGTAATATTGGGAATGCAGTGGGTGGGTTCTTTGGGGAATATGGAGGTCAACTGGAAACTCCTGACCATGTGCTTCCATATGGGGAATGCACCAACAACACTAAAAGGAGACCCCCTCCTTCACAAGGCCGATGTGTCCCTCAAGGCATTGGTAAGAGCCCTATAGCATGAAGGCTAAGAGGTTTGGGTAGAACTCGGAACTCTCACGGCAAAGGAAGATGAGAAACAAATAGTCAGCTGCTCGCTGGGATTATGCAGGTCTTGCAGCGTCATTGGCAAATCTTCGAGGAACCAAAAACCTTGCCCCCAGTGCGAGACACTGATCATTCGATCACATTACAGGAAGGAGTAGAATCGATCAACGTGAGACCCTACATGTATCCTCATGTGCAGAAGAATGAAATTGAGAGGTTGGTGGGGGAAATGCTAGCCGCTGGAATAATTCAACCCAGTACTTAGCCCGTTTTCCAGCCCGGTGTTACTGGTAAAGAAGAAAGACGGCAGTTGGAGGTTTGCGTAGATTACAAAGCTTTGAACAAGGTGATTGTCCCTTATAAATTCTCGATTCCTGTCATAGACGAGTTACTGAATGAACTTCATGGGGTAAATATCTTTTCGAAGCTGGACCTGAAGGCGGGGTACCATCAAATTCGAGTTTGGAAGGATGATATAAGTAAAACAACATTTAGGACTCATGAGGGGCATTATGATTTATGAATTTCTGGTGATGCCGACGCGCCAGCAACTTTTCAATCGTTGATGAACCAGGTGCTAAAAAAAAAATCTGAGGAAATTAGTGTTGGTATTTTTTGATGATATTCTCATATATAGCAAGGACTTAGCAGCCCATGAACAACATTTGGAATTGGTTTTCACGTCCTTAACAACTCACCAATTAAGTGCAAACGCAAAGAAGTGCTTGTTCGCTCAACAACAGCTTGAGTACCTGGGACATTTGGTGTCATCAAAAGGGGTGGCGGCTGACCCAAGTAAGATTGAAGCTATGGTACAATGGCCGACCCCTAGAAACCTGAGGGAGCTCCAAGGATTTTTGGGGTTGATTGGGTATTAACGAAGGTTCGTGGCAGGTTATGGTACTATTTCATGGCCGCTTACACAACAGTTGAAGAAAGATGCTTTTGGATGGACACCCGAAGCGGAGGCTGCTTTTCAAAAACTGAAGCAAGCTATGGTTACCGTTCCAGTGTTAGCACTTCTAGATTTTTCTCAGCCATTCATCATCGAAACTAATGCATCGGGATATGGGTTGGGTATTGTACTCATGCAAAAGGGGCAGCCCATTGCCTATTTTAGCCTAGTTTTGTTGGCCAAATCTCAACTAAAGTCATTCTACGAAAGGGAGTTAATGGCCATTATGCTAGCTGTCCAGAAATGAAGGCATTATGTTTTGGGTCAGAAATTCATTGTATGCTCTGATTAACGAAGTCTGAAATATCTCTCCTAGAGCAACGAGTAATACTGGCCGACATCCAACGTTGGGTAACTAAGTTGGGGTATGA